GATATCTCTGAAGTGTCAGTGTGGGTTTTTTTTTCATAAATGAAGACTTACTCCGGTTTTATTTTAGTTTCACATGACACTGTACAGGACTGTAGAAGTAAGGGTTTGAAAGTTTTGGTTTTATTAAACTTTTTATGTGTCTCCGAAGAGTGACAGGTGCATATTGACTAATGCATGAAGTGGGAATTACAGTGTTGAAAGAATACACTATACTACTTGGTAAATGTATTTGTATCGTCATTTCAAACCACATTTAGACTTACTTTTAAAAGACAGACAATATGGTAAAAATAGGAAGTCCCAAAGAAAAATATTAAGCAATATGACCTCTTATTCTATTTAGTTCAGTTCAGCTTCACTTAATTTATTATTATTAGGGCAGAAGCAAAAACACTTGTGCCTCCATTACATTACAATTTTCTTCACCTTAATCCATTTCTGGATGGGGGTGGGAATCAGAGCTGCACCCAATTCACAGAGCACCGGCCCCTCCTGACGGCTGCTCCGTTACTGAGAGTATAGCCTTGATCTGTCAGCAGGGGCTTCAGGCAAAGTGGGGTTACGTGTCTTGGACAAGGACAAAACGGCGGCAGACATCAGTGGGAGTCGATTAAGTAGGTCTTGTGGTGGGTTTGAACGCAAAACCTTCAGGCTCAAAGGCCAATGCTCCACCAACAGAGCCACCGTCACCTCATCCACCTCTCAGCAAGAAGGTACTGGGTTCGAATCCCGGCCGGACCAGGGCCTTTCTGAGTGGAGTTTGCATGTTCTCCCCGTGTCTGCGTAGGTTTCCTCCGGGTACTCCGGTTTCCCCTACCACTAAAAATATGTACAATAGGTCTGGCATGCGCCTCCTGTTCGGCGACCCCGCTCCCATCTCTGTGTGGAGTGAGAGGACAAATGCCCAAAAAATAACAATTGTAAACCGCTTTGTGGCTCTGGTCTGTGAAAGGCGGTATATAAATAAAGATTACTTACTTACTTACTTACTTACTTACTTACTTACTTACTCATGTCCATAAATGTTGACGTGAAGTACAACGCATCCATGACTTTCGTTATGAGGACCGTTACTATAGAGATAACTAATGCAAACCAGATTTTGAAAAAAAAAAAAAAAGGTTGGCATTGAAACCATGAAAATTATCCAGATACCGGTGTATCCGTTGTAGAATTAAAATGTTGTATACTAATGATTATCATTAGGTGTTTGCATAAAATGTCTTTGTGCAATATTAAGCCTGGATTTAGTGGAATTCAGAGAAGCACCAAGGACAAGGCTTCTGTGATAAAAGTATCATTTTCAAGGACAAGGCCTGAGACACGAAACTGGACTAGGCCAGACCGGGTCCAGGACTTCAGTCTGTCTCAGACCACATGACGTCATCGGACATTTTGATAAAACTGTTGGTAGGACATTTTGAAAGTAGTCTGAGCAGGGATAGATAGACAGAGAGCATCGCAGAGCGCCTGGATGTTCTCTGTACATTTTCAGGCCTGGAAGGGACAGTTAAAATGGCTCAGCATAGGGTTAGTTTTAGGGAATTAATAGCTCCAAGAGTTTTGTATCAATATTTAATTGTATAGAGAATTAAATTAGCTATTTTTAACTCTCGCATTCTTGGCCTTACTTCTGTACCAAATTCTGAACACGTCCGTCATATCTTTTTGACAATACCGTTCAGATTTGGATCTTATTCTTAGGTTATAGGAGTCAAAATATTTTGTTGATTCCAGCTTCGAGACAGATGACATGGGTCCATTCAGGTTTGAAAATGGTGCAACCCCCGACATATAAAAAGAGTCGAATGATTATTTTAACATACATATAACATTCACTCCAATTTGAAGCTACTTGCTCCAACCACAATAACCTAGCTTTATCTTAATTATCTATGAAAATATATCCATAGCCATCATTTACCAACGTTTATGCACATTGGCCGTCTGCCGCTTATGGACCAATGGCTCTGCTTTTTTATTTTTTATTTAATCCTTGCATCTCTTGTGTTTGAACCTTGATTCTCTGGTCTGCATTGGCAAATTCAACAGTTTTTGTCCTAAGATAACTACTGTTGTGATTTAGGGCTACACAAGAATACATTGAATTGAATCAAAGCCAGGACTGGACCCTGAGAAAAACTAGCATGCTCCAGTGAATTGTATTGGGTTTGATATAAATACACTATTCAGACTTACAATGATGGTATTATTATTGTCTTGTCTGACCAGTTAAACCTTTGAAAAGCCTGATAATACCAGGATGTCTGTGGAAACGATCGTGAATGGTGAATGGCTTCTGCTTCTTTGCTCATCTCACAATTTATATTCAGTGGATCTTTGTGAAAGTGGAGGTAAATAAATGTGTGTGTCCAGAGTTTGTGAGGATTTAGTGTGTAATCGGACATGTTTGACACAGGGTTTCCTCAGTGCAGTTAATCACCTCGGCTGCACACGTTCTGTTTGAGAGCGCTGTCATCGCTGAGGTGGCTGACGGCTCAGGACTCATTATACAGACTTAAAACTCAGACTTTCTTCCCCCACATGACGTCACCCCAACACCTTCGTCCAAATCTGTTGTTTTTTGTAAACTAATGCTAATTGTTTTTGTCTTTGTTTTGTTTTTAACTAGTAAGTAAGAAATATTTATTTATATACCACCTTTCACAGACCAGAGTCAAAGCGGTTTGCAATTGTGGGCATTTGTCTCTCACTCCACACAGAGATGGGAGCGGGGTCACCAGTACAGGAGGCACATGCCAGACCTATTCTACAACCGGAGTACCCGGAGGAAACCTAAGCAGACAAGGGGAGAACATGCAAACTCCCCTCAGAAAGGCCCTGTTCCGACTGGGATTCAAACCCAGGACCATCTTGCTGAGAAGCGAGAATGCAAACCACTCAGCCACAGTGCCGCCCGAAGTTGGAAGTGGAATTGCACGTCCAACGATATTTGTAGAGTGTCCTTGGCTGTTTTGAAAGGAGCTTTTGAATAAAATGTATAGTTGTTATTATTTATAAATCATATACAGAGCTTTTTCCTCTTCTGTTCCATCTGGAAAGATTCAAAATCAAAAATGATCTGGGTCACAGGTGCAATTGCTGCTGCCTTGACTTAATTTCTCAAAATTATCAATAGTCTGTTTTCTGCTCTGGTCCATATCCCCAGATACCAGCTGCAGTAAATACCATCCTATATAAAGGATATGTAGCTTGATATTTCTCTGAGCCAATTTGTTATGACTTATAATCAGAGTAAATGAGGCATCAGAGACCACAGCTACAGTTGTATTCCAAAGAGTCCTAATGTCCTAAAACAGATTCAATTTACAATGTTTCTGCTTGTTTTCCATCTGGTCTTTTAAACTGAGATGATGTGTTGAAATTTGCCACACACAAAAAATCAGTAAAATATTATTGATCCATTATGAAAATTCAACTTTTCTAAAATACTAAAACTAAAACAATTAAATCCTGAATCAAGTTATACCTAGTCATATACCATTAGTTGTATTTGCTAAGGCCAAAACAGTCTGTTAAAAGGATTCCCAAACAAAATAGTTAAAATTTAGCTCAAAGTCATTGGAAAGGGAAGAACAGACACAGATGTTACGGATGTTTTTCTTTCGCTCTGGATTCACGTTAGACAAGACAATGGCGTCCACTGTTCTTTTGAGTGAGTACATCTACTGCAACCCATTCTGCACTTTTACCAGCACAAACAGGGGCAAATATAAATACATACATTTTTGGCATATAATTTACCAGTCATCCTGTCAGCACTAAAAAGGTGGGAAAACATGTTAATTGCAAGTTAGTGAATTAGGAACTAGTTTTCACTTAACCTGGTCCTTGTATTTCAACTTAATGTACTTGTTATTTGTGATATTAGTGACCTTTAGTACATAGAAAGGCGCCTAGGATATAAAATGTATAATAATCATTTTTTGATATTATTATTCACGATAACTATCACTGGCACAGACTTAACTCTTTGATACAGTAAATGCTACTTGTTCAGGTAAAAAAAAAAGTATATTAAGGCAAACCTGGAGAGCGTTTCAAATGAAGTACATGTGATCAGATAAATACATAAACAGTACTGGATATGGCTATAAACAAGAAGCTAAAAAACCCAGCTCGGATGAACATAGCAGACAAGTCTAAAGTTACCAAAGTATTCTGCTTATTGTTGCTAGCCCACCACTTGGCATCTTTGTCTATAGTCCCAACTGCTATGCTCATTACTGTAACCATCAATAACACTTATTCAAAAGGCCGTAGTGATTTTTTGTTACCGTCTCGTCTCCCACTCTGCACAATTAGAAACATTTGTAGTGTTTGTAATACATCTTAATGCCCTGGTGTCAGCAGCGCACTCCAGCCGGTATGGATTAGACGCAACTTTTCCACTTGTGATTATAACAGGAGAAATAGTGCTGAACGCATTTACCGCTCCAGCTTCACCGCACTCTCTTATCCAATAGAGTAAATAACATTATGAGGCCGAGGGAGCCATCTAATCAATTTCTACTGAGTTTGATGACAAGCCAAAGCCGAGCGTGGAGTCAGGCTCCTGTTACCTGGACAGACAGAGACAGCATCGTATAGAGCTCTATAGGATAATGAGACTTATCAGAATCTGTTGTTCTATGGCTGTGTTTCACAACCAGCGGGGCAGGGACCAGTGAGTGTTTCCAAGTTTCCAGTTGATGTTTGTGATCAGAGATTGTTTTTTTTAATCTTGTGTAGCTTTAAAAATCTATGGAGAATTAGGGACGTTATGACCATAAAACATGTTAGATGGGCACATAACACAATCTTCTTTTCTGATCATGTTAAAGATGTTTGTGGTTGGTGCTTTGTTGAATAAGGTTTATTTTGTTATACTGGAGAAGCCATTGTGCTCCCCTCACTCCCCTGATGGCAGCCCCCACCTCTGTGTGATGTTGGAGAAGGCTCCTCATGGTCAAGACGTAGTCCACCACATCAGGACTGACCATCTAGTATGGAGGTGTACTCCTGGTTCTGGAGTATGGAGGTGTACTCCTGGTTCTGGAGTATGGAGGTGTACTCCTGGTTCTGGAGTATGGAGGTGTACTCCTGGTTCTGAAGTATGGAGGTGTACTCCTGGTTCTGAAGTATGGAGGTGTGCTCCTGGTTCTGGAGTATAGAGTTGTGCTCCTGGTTCTGGAGTATGGAGGTGTGCTCCTGGTTCTGGAGTGTACTCCTGGTTCTGGCGTCTACTCCTGGTTCTGGAGTATGAAGGTGTACTCCTATTTCTGGCATCTACTCTTGGTTCTGGAGTATGAAGGTGTACTCCTGGTTCTGGAGTATTGATGTGTACACCTGGATCTGGAGTATTGAGGTGTACTCCTGGTTCTGGAGTATGAAGGTGTACTCCTGGTTCTGGAGTATTGAGGTGAACTCCTGGTACTGGAGAATGAAGATGTACTCCTGGTTCTGGCGTCTACTCCTGGTTCTGAAGTACAAAGGTGTACTCCTGGTTCTGGAGTATTGAGGTGTACTCCTGGTTCTGGAGTATGAAGGTGTACTCCTGGTTCTGGAGTATTGAGGTGTACTCCTGGTTCTGGAGTATGAAGGTGTACTCCTGGTTCTGGAGTATTGAGGTGTACTCCTGGTTCTGGAGTATTGAGGTGTACTCCTGGTTCTGGAGTATTGAGGTGTACTCCTGGTTCTGGAGTATTGAGGTGTACTCCTGGTTCTGGAGTATTGAGGTGTACTCCTGGTTCTGGAGTATTGAGGTGTACTCCTGGTTCTGGAATATCGGTCGGTTATCACAGACTTTGCCGACTGGTGTGAGCGCAACCACTTGTGCTTGAACACCAGTAAGACCAAGGAGATGATCATCGACTTCAGGAGAAAACCACTTTCCCACACGCTGCTGAACATCCAGGGGGAGGACATTGAGCTGGTGGACAGCTTCAAGTACCTGGGTGTTCACATTAACAATAAACTGGACTGGTCCCATAATACAAACGCCCTGCACAAGAAGGGCCAAAGTCGCCTCTTCCTTCTGAGGAGGCTGAGGTCCTTCGGAGTGAGCAGGCCTCTGCTCAGGACTTTTTATGACTCTGTGGTAGCTTCTGCCATTTACTACGCTGCCGTGTGCTGGGCCCCGGGCAGAACAGAGCGGGACAGAAACAGACTGAACAAGCTGGTCAGGAGGGCCAGCCCCACTCTGGACTGCTCCCTGGACTCTGTGGAGGAGGTGAGGGACAGGAGGCCCCTGGACTCTGTGGAGGAGGTGAGGGACAGGAGGGTGCTAGCCAAAGCCACCTCCATCATGAACAATACCTCCCACCCACTGCACAGGACTGTAGAGGAGCTGAGGAACTCCTTCAGTGGAAGACTGAGGCACCCTCAGTGTAGGAAGGAGCGCTACCGCAGGGCCTTTATCCCCACCGCTGTCAGACTGTACAACAAGTCACTTTAAATGATCACTGTGTGAAAACCTGCACTACTATTGACACTGTTTCCAATTGACACTTGTCACTTTTGTTCTACATAATTATTGTCACTTTTATTGTACATATATCCTGCATGTAACATGTTTGCACATTTCCTCCTTTTGCACAATCTGAGTGTCTCTATCCATGCCAAATGTGACATGTAAATTTCTCCTTTGTGAGATAAATAAAGCACATCTTATCTTATCTTGAGGTGTACTCCTGGTTCTGGAGTATTGATGTGTACTTCTGGTTCTGGAGTATTGAGGTGTACTCTTGATTCTGGAGTATTGAGGTGTTCTTCTGGTTCTGGAGTATTGAGGTGTACTCCTGGTTCTGGAGTAAGGAGGTGTGCTTTAATAAAAACCCAGTAGTAGCAGCTGAAGAGGGAACAGAAGAGGCTCTGAGGAGCATGTTCAGAGAACCCTCTGAGCAGAGACCGCAGTGAACACTGTCACAGCCAACGCTCTGCTCTCACAAATATTTGAGAAACAAAAGTAACTTTCAAGACTTTCATCGTCGCACAAACAGAAACAAATGTCCTGCACACTGCAGTCAGAATGTACAGTATTTTGAATGTAAAACTTGAACTTGTCCGTGCATGTTTTTGAAACCCAATAAAAGTGTACATGCTGCTGTTTCTCAGATTGTGTTGCAAGAATGAATTATATAAACTTAAACTTTAAAGTACAGTTTTAACTCTAGTCCATTTGTGAAGAGAAACACAATCTGAGCAGAACAATCAGACCTGCGGCGGAGCTGCTGATTTGATCTGACCATGACACTGCATATAGGAGTAGAATGAATATGGAAATATGCAGACTCATTGAAATGTATACAATCTTTTCCACTCAACATGGAGATTATTCAAATGTACTCAATAATAATGAGCCACCTGTGTCATACATTATACAGCAGAGAAGCACATTTTGTCCTCTTTAAGGACATATTGTTGCAAGAACAGACAATTTACTTGGAATATTTGAGTTAAGTTAAAAGTATACTCAGACAGTAAGTTCAGGTTTTATTTTATTTTTTATGTAGATCCCCATGAGCTGCTAAAATATCCAGTAGCTACAGGGTCTATACTGGAGTTTATACTTAGGACATAAAAAGTGAAAACAGAGAACAGGTTACGTACATGTATGTAGATAAGGAAGGGTGTACAGCTCAGTAACACAAGAATAAAGAAGCAGCCATGCTTTCAGATCTGCATATAAGTGTTTATTTGCTCGCTCATTACAGCAGCATTCATCAGGAGGGACATCACAGCTTCCTTTGAGCTTAGACTCTGGTAAAACAAGGCATCGTCCGGGGAGACATGTTTTATTCAGGCTTGTCTCGGCTCATTTTCACCTCTCTTTGTCCTGATGGGCTTGTCATCTGTGGCTCACGACAACACCTTTTACTGCAGGGCGCATAAATCAATAGTGGAGCGGTGGAGTGGGGCCCAGACTGTGATAAAAGTGCAGGTGCAGTGTGACCCGTGCTCGGACTGTGGGACACATGACGAGGTGCAGAGGAAAGCAGGGGAAGCTTATGGTTTTAATGAAGCTGCTGCGTGAATATACAGTCAGGTTTCTCATTAGAATGTTGGATGTTAGCTCCCTCTGCTGGCGGCTGATGAAGACTCTCAGGACAAGAGTAATATCCAAAATCCTTTGTAATGACCTCAGCTGTGCTTTTTTTAACCTAATTGTTGATATTAATGTCATAAAAAGTTTCAGTTAAACAGGCTAAGATCCAAAACATCTAATTAAAGGACAAGAAAGCACTTTTACAAACATCTAAACATACATGGCTTTGTAACTGTTTTGTATTTGGACCAGTGTTGTGTATTGTATTACTGTATTGTGAAATGCTGAAACCTAATAATAAGAACAACAAAAAAGGGATAAAATAATACAAGTATTACTAATAAGATAAGATAAGAGTTCCTTTATTCGTCCCACAGTGGGGAAATGTCGATGTTGCAGTGCACAGACAGGACAGCAGTAAGAGCACACAGGGAGCACACAAAATATACAAAATACAAAATAAATAGTAGCTTCTTAACTAGCTTAACTGGCTAACAATAATCAGGATGATGACAACAACATAATAATAATTCTGCCTTGACAAACATTTGAAAAAGAAAATGATAATGCTGACTATACTTTTGTAAGATAAGTTTTAACAATGGAAAAGGTTACGTTTTTTATGTTGTGACTAAATACATTAAGTGTCATTGCTCATTTGTTCAGAAAATATCTTATGCTTGACTTCAAATGTGTTTCAATTGCCAAAACATAATTTCCTCATAAACTACTGTCTAAATTGATGTTTCTACTTCACCCAAATCAGTCAATCAGTTTATACCTCTCCACTCAGTAAAATAATCACAGGTTTCCTCTCTCTCCTCCTGATAAAACATCTGAACAGCGCTGGCTTTACATCTGTCAATCCAAACCTGGCGCCCGGATCCCAAACCAGAGAGAAGTGTTTACAGCCGAGCCAAAGGGAGAGCGCTAATGAAAGTAAAGTGTGTGGAAAATGACTTTTATATGAAATAATTTGTGACGGAGAGATGAGTGGCTGACAAAACGCTCCCCCATGTTTTTCAGGAGCAGATCGTCACCTGTCAGAGAGAAGCGGAGACAGAGCTGCAGCTGTGTTCTTCAGAGTGAGTAAGTACATGAGTTATATTTATTTATATAGCACTTTTCACAGTCGCAGTCACAAAGGCGTTTACATTTGTTGGTATTTGTCCTCTCTCTCTCTCTCTCTCTCTCTCTCTCCACGTGATGATGGAAGTTGAATGATGCAGTCAGTGAGAACTTAAAGGATAATGGAATGGGCTTGAAACTTAAAGCTGGGGTACCTATTTTTTAATTATTCTTATTTTAACCTTTATTTAACCAGGAAAATCCCATTGAGATTAATAAACTATTTCAAGGGGGTTCTGGACAAGAGGCGGCAAAAGTTACACAGTTACATAATTGTAAAAACACACACAATGTAATTTTTTGTATACACACAATTTCATTCAACTACAGCTTATAAAAACAGTTACATGTCAATGAGGATGAGGTCAAATCTTTGGATCTGCTTTTTACAGAAACACAGAAACGTGAAAAAGAGAGGAGCACACTGTTACAACCCAGCTATAGGTAACAAGGCAAGGCAAGTTTATTTATATAGCACAATTCATACACAAGGCAATTCAAAGTGCTGAACAAAACAAGAAAGCATTAAAATCATAAATAATCACAGAACATTAAAAAGAAAGATACAAATACAAAATCCCTCAGTTGTATGCACAGCTAAACAGAACTGTCTTTAACCTGGTTTTAAACATTGTCAGAGAGGATGCCTGTCTCACATCTTCAGGAAGACTGTAACAAAGAATGTATTTTAATAACAAGAATGTAAATGATAAGTAGACATAAAGCAAAAGGACACAATACCGGGCATAAGGAGTAACTCAACGTGACAAAGTAACAACCAAAAAGAGACAAACCAAATAAAAGCTGTCAATTAGGTCATTGTCACACCTTTTGATGATGGTGGTGGTTGTCCAATCACAGGCCAGGGATCTCGGGACAGATGAAAAACAACTAAATCCGAATCAGGATCAATTTGCAGGCCTAGGGCAGTAACACACCTTGACATCCCCCCACATGAGGACAGAAGACACTTATGGTCTAAAATTGTTCACAACATTTTACTTTTACAAGGCAAGAACTTTTCAAAACTTCTCAAAGTAGATAGAAATGTTTTACACCTAAATGTGTGATTATATGGTGCAGCAATACTATGGAAATTAGTGGGAGGACGACA